CGCGACCCCCCTTTACACACGTGCTCCGGCCACTGTCGTCCCCTGCCTTAGGAAGCACATGTATCGTGGGAATGAATGCACCTGTCTGTGTGCAGAGATCAGACCTTCGAAAAGTTACATTTTTGGACAAAGCAACAACAAGGCAGGGAAATCCTGGGAGATGGGCTCCAAAGAAGTAACTTTTCCAAGGCCTCCCAGAGGTACTCTTATGTGCAGGCCCACTTTCTTTGCTGAGACTTGTGCTGCCCATTAATTGCTGGAAGGCCATGCCCGTCCCCGTGTAATAACTGGAATAAAATAACTTTGATAACGATGTGGGAAAAATGACGATCACTTTAAAGGTCCTATGGCTGCATTCTTGTTGTGCCCGTTGACTAAGTGAATGACGGCATTGTCCACAGTTTGGCAGATGGAGCAGATGGTACCCTGAGTGACATCTTTGCAAGGCCGTGGATGACACTTATGGTGTGTGTAATGCAAACACACTTGCAGAATACCATTATACTGTGGGTGTCTTGATTTCTTTGAGCGTGGTGTCCTAAATTGGTTCCTTCACTGCAGCTGTGTCTCAGGCTCAGCTTTCATGGAACATTCCAGATGTCACACCTTGAAATATTTAAAGAAGAGATAGAAGAAAGTCATCTGTGGTAACTTTAAAACTAGCAGGGTTATTTATTTATTTTTATTGCTATCAGGAGACTTAACACAGGCACCCCTTTTGAAGATTGGTACCAAAGAAAGATTCTGAGTAGGCTTTAGATTTTATTGCAGTTCCACTGAATAATCCTAACCTGTTTTCAGCATTATCCCCAGGGTACAGGAGCAACTACTTGCATTTATTTACAAGATTTTTTTCCTCCCAAAGCAACAGTCATAAGAGGGAGTATATAATTCGGATTATTTTTCTCTGCATTCCTCGTGGGGGCAGACACTAAGAAAAGCAGGTGTTTGCTGCAGGACATTAATTAATAGAATTCATACAGTATATTCTGCTTAGAACTGAGTGAGGTGGGGAAAGGATCAGGTATTTGCTGCAGGACATTAATTAATAGAATGCATACAGTATATTCTGCTTAGAACTGAGTGCGGCTGCCTATGTGTTTGGTATTTAAACTCTGTTCAGATTCATGCGGAGAAAGTTCTAAACAAAAGATGCCATCTTATCTGCCGCTAGCACCGGTTCGTGTAACTGTGTACTGAAAAAAAAATCTGTATCTGAGCGCTTTCACTCGGAACTAATGCTCCAACGATGGATAAGTGGGAGACTACAATTTACCCCTATAGAATATCTGCCATTAATTTTGAGAACGGAATGGATAGCATCACTCTGATTATGGGAAGTGTGCGTGAGATGACAATTGGGGGGGGGCTGCTCAGAAGTAAAACCCATTCCGTTCCATCGGGTTTACCCAAAAGAAGTTCATTTAGGGTTTCAGCTTTTGCTTTCGTGGCTCTAGACGCCTAGGATCTTTTATTGCTGCCTTGGAAAAAAACTAAAATAACTACATAAGGCATATTGAAAGCGCACGAAAAAAACAAAGGCTGCCTCCCTCCCAGTTTGTCAGCTTGGCTAAACTCTCCGACGCTACAAATCTCTTCCAGACATGTCATTGAGATTTAAAAAAAAACGGACCGGAAGTTGTCACTCTAATTCGTATGTCTATGTGTCCCGTTTCTCATTCGTGCCGGAAATAATCTGGCCAACGGAAGCCAGAGTGTAGGAAAGTGACTCTAGCAGGACCGGAAGGAGCGAGCCAGTGCGTTTCACTCTGGGCGGGCTGCTCCATTCGGTGAGGTGAGCGCGGCAGAGACCAAGTGCGGTTCTAGGAGGGGGTGTGTGACTGTCGGCGTGGAAGAGGCCGGCGAAGGCGAACCAAGGCGGGAGCGACATGGCAGCGCCGGTTGGGACCCTGGCGGGCGCTTCGCCGGAACCCCAGCCGCCGCCGCCCCCTGGGCCTTCCTCCTCCTCGGCCTCTCTG